AGATAGAAAAACCCAGAGGGAACACGAGTGTGGCCCATGAATAATGTAAAAGATGGCAGTGCATCCATCCAGCACCCATAACCCCATTCCTGTAGCTTTTGTAGAATATATATCTCCACTGAATACTCTGCCATAAGCACATGGCATGTTTAAAGAGCACTATTACAAAGTAGCGTCACTGGTCAAACTATTTCTATAGGAGGTAGCTTTCCCTCTTGGCTTCACTATAAATTCCAGTGAAAAGGAAATCATCCATTAACAGCCTTTCATCTCACATCAAGTGAAAAATATAAAATGAGTACAAAGAACAGTCACTTAGAACGTAAAACAGTGATAAAGTAAAAACCAGAGGAATTTCACCAAGGAGATGATTATTTGTCTAGGACCTCAAATGTCAGTCCTATAGGCCTTCTGGGCTCCTGCCTATAAGCAAGTGAGGCTTTTTAGTCAGTTTTAGAAGTGCAGATATGTTGGTTTTTATACCTTTGTACACATCCTGTTTAACTGCTTCCCCATTTTTTCTGTCTTAAACTAAGATAAGATATCTGGCTACTGTAACTTCATATTTCGGGATTTATTCAAACATTGCACAGATAAGACTACCTCTAAGCAGGAAAACAGTCAAAGTGTGTGTTTTAAGATGGCTTTGAAGTGAAATAGTTGGTCTCCTACACCAAAAGACCAAATTTTGCATTTAATAATAGACCATGTTGTAGTGTGACACTGAAAATCTCACATGTGCTGAACAACTCTGTTGTTTTGGGGCTGGTTTGCTGTCTTAATTTCCATTTTCTAAAACAGGAAATTCCTCTGTGGCATAAACACAATTAATTTTTTTCAAATAATCCTTTCATAAAATCTTGTCCTGACTTCTTAAGAGATTGGAAGATTCTTAAAATCCTCCAGTTTATTTTAAGTCTATTGTTAAGATATGCAGCAGCAAAGTGTGAAAAGTAAAAGGAGGATGAAAGAAAGTGTTTGCACTTTAATAAAACTTGCAGTTGAGCTGAGTATGCGCTTGTATCAGCTGGGATTTATTTAAACAATGTGAATGTACAGTAGGATAAGTGTGGTAGGTGTGTGTGAGTCTATTATCCATGCATGAAGTATAAATCAAAAGGTGACAGGCACAGTGAAAAAATGAGACTTTCTACCCTCCAAGACCACATTTAGATTACTTTCACACCTACAGAATAATGTGATCTTATCTACAGCAGCTTTAGAATATATATATAAGGCAGTCAAAGGAGTATACAGATTAGTTGGCATGGCCACTTTAAATGTTTTAGACTTGTGAATCAAGGTGATGAAATTCATACCTGAGCCAGTTTCGAAAGTGTGTTGCCTGAGCCTGAAATTTCTCCATGCAGAGAAGCTAGCCTCATCTGCATTCCCCTTCTGTGTGCCAGTCTTTGTGTTTGAGGGACCTGGCCCTCTGAATGACAATAATCCCAAAGTATTACTGAGGCAGTGCGTGTCTGAATCCTCATTCTTGCTGTTAACACCACAAGCGGGTGGTGTTCGGTTGAACCTGTAGCCCCTGTGCTTTGATAGAGGGCCTCTGCAGCGACCCGAAGAGCTCTCTCGGCCATTACATTGGTTGCTGTCCAACACGGCTGCTCTGGATTTCACATATCCCTCATTTCTTTTGGCTGGTTTGCTATCTTTAGAAGATCTGTGGCAGGACGAGGTACCAAGGCGAATTGACAAAGTAGACCTACACAAAGCTGGTTTACGTGCTCCTTTCCCCTGTAGTTCCACAAGGGAAATACAAAGTGGCTTGTCCAAAAACACAAAGGATCTAGTGCACCTCAGAGGTACCTCGTGATAAATACAAGACCGGTAAGAAGGCTGTGAGGAGAACAGGTTCTTTACTGAGCCACCAATCGCTTCCTGCTTTCTGTCTTCCTCTGTATAGCTCAGTCTGCAGTGCACAAGTTGTACTTTCTTCTTTCCGGGATCTTTCACTGCCAATCCATCAGCTGGTGAGTAGGCCCGTCTGAAGTCACTTGGCATCAGGTAGGCAGGATTTGGTCTGCACACGTTCAGTTGGGAAACTGAGACTCTCATGGTGGGTTTAGATTGGGCTCTTCTCCCAAAGGTTTCTGCCACTTCTGGAGGAGTTGCTAACTTCACAGGTTGTGTTGGCGTGGATATCTTGGAGACTTAAAGTGATGGTAGGACCTTATGGGCTGCAGTGAAGAAGGAAGAAAATGTCTCTGTGGACTCTTTACAACCACCTCTGGGGGTATCTTCAGTCCGAAACAAGCTGGAAAGTCCACGGAAGATATCCAGTAACTGTTGCCTGAGAATAGACCGTCTCTGCTGTTGCTCTAAGAGACACTCGCCTCACACTTGCCTCTTACCCCCACCACACACCCAGCGACAGGACATTTCTGTGCAGTGAAGCGGTGATATCCGTATTTGAGAGCTATGAAAAGACAGAGAAAAGAAAAATGTCTTGTATCAGAATTGTGCTCCAAGTCTTCATTTAATACCACTGCAAACCAAGAGGTTCTGTAGTTGAAATGAAACAAAGAAAGACTGCAAATACAAAGATATGAACTGCTGTAATGTGACAGGGCAGACTTATCATCTGCTCTCCTGTGCTATTTGTTTCTTTATCTGTTGCTGTTTCCATGACAATGTGCAACTTGATGGACAGCATGTGGGGCCAAATTATCCACCACATTTAAAATGAACAATCCAGTTGGTCCTTTGAAAAACAAAGATCAGTGCCTTCCCTGTTTCTATTCCAAACTTCACCTAAAAAAAGAAAATCAAAGATCGAACAGGACAGTTTCCTACTGTCGCTGTAAGGATACTTTACCGGTTAATATTTTTTTTCTTCTGATCGTCTTTGAAGGGCAAACTATAAAACATCTTCCCCAAACATCCCTTGCGTTGACTCACATCCTCGAGAGCTAAATATCAGGAGACGTTTGCACAAATATAATTTGGATAATTTGGATGAATGACATTTCCTCTTGCTTGAATGTTATTATAAACCAATATTAAAGAAAACTTTAAACATAATTTAATTTGTTGAGAGATTCAGCAACGTGGAATTGCCGATCGAAATTATGCATAAACATGTTTGTTTTTGCTGGATATGTATCTTTAGCTGACAGTAGGTTGCTGTCCCAAATCCTTTTAAAATGCTTTTTGTTGAGAATTAAATGATAAGATTTGATTTTCCACTTACATCTTAAAGTACAAAATACCACAAGTACACAGTGAAAGATCGCACTGTGCAGTAGCGAGCTCACCGACATTTGCAGACATAGTTTACGTCATCGGTCTACGTCACAAGACCTCAAATAAGTATAACAAGAGCTGTTCATTGATGTTAACTGTCAGTAAGTTTGGAAATCTCCAGCTGTGGAAACCTGCTGACATCAACCAGCTGTCTTATAATTCTTTCATCTGTCAGCTCAGTACAGAGAAAACATTAGCGCACTGCGGTTTCTGATTTTGGCTGCACACACCACGTATGACTTAAAAGAGAAGTCCACTTCAAAGGCACACTCCTCAACATAAAATACAATTATCAGACTTACCCACTCATCACAAAAGTACACCTATCCTGTCACAGAAAATGGTAGTTCCGTTAACACTTCAATATCACATTATTCACTCCACTTTATCATGCCATCATTTATTCCAAGCTCGGAGCCATGCTCATTCCCACCTAACAGCATCCAAAAGAAAAATCTCTCTCTCCTGCTTTCTGCGTTCCAGCTCAGCTGACGATGACTCTCCTAACATAGTTATCTGCCTGCTTGGCTGGCACTTTTTGGATAATGTCTTGACAACGTACAATAACCTAAATGTTTTGTCCTATTGTTTCAGAAGGCAAAGAAAAAGGCTTTATCAACTCATTTTATTCACCACTGAGCATAGTTCAGTTTTTTAATCATGATACCCAAAGTGCACTGCTCTCTAAACAAAGCCCAATGTAGTTATTACAGTCAATAAAACTGAGATTATTATGAATGGAGGCGTAATTTACACAAGCACACAGAGCATTCTTTCAGTGTTATACAATGCTACAGTGAGACCTTGCAAATATAAGTCTCGCTGTTGGCCCGTTCAGATGTTTGCATGAATTGTACAGAGCATATTATACAAGGGAAGTAATTATGTTTACTGTGTGTGCTCCACTTTGAGGTGAATCACTTGGGAACTGAATGCAGGGCCGAACAACAACGCTGAAATAGAAATTAATACATACATGGTTTCAGCCCATTTTCCCTTTGATTTATTTTCTCCTTAGCCAACAAGTGTAACTGAAATTATTTGAATATGCAGTGTTTGTTAAAAACAAGATATTTGATATATTTTTTGAAAAAAAAAAAGGGAAAAAGAAAAAAAAAAAAACCCCAAAATGACCAAAAGCCTGAATCTCTTTTAATGGACCAGACCCTTTAGGGGTGCCAGAATTTACCGATATTCGTGATGACTGATATGTTAAAGATATAGAAATATAGATATCATGTTTACATTTTGTAAATTATCAAATACTTCAATTATTCAACTGCTCATTAATGCAAATATCTAATCTGTCAATCACCTTCCAGTTCACTGAATTTAGGCACAAGACAAGAATAGACTGATGCTGAAGTTCAAATGGGAAAGAAAAGTGATTTAAGTGACTTTGAATGTGGCGTTGCTGTTGCCATGTTTCAGCAGATCTGAGAATTTCAGAAACACCTGATCTCCTGGGATACACAATGCAACAATCTTTACCGTTTACAGAGAAAAGACCAAAAAAGAGAAAATACCCAATAATAGGCAGTTCTCTGGGCTTTGTTGATGCCAGATGCCATAAGAGTATGGGCAGACTGGTTTGAACTGATAGGAAGGCAACAGTAACTCAAATAACTAATGAAATAACCATGATATGCAGAACAACATCTCTGAACTAATGACAAACCTTGACACAGATATGCTACAACAGTAGAAAGACATAGCAGATGCTGCTCCTGCCAGTAAGAACGGGAAACTGGGGCTACAGTTCACCAAGGCTCACCAAACTTGGACAAAGGATTTTGGACAATTTCTCCTGCAACGTTTAGATTGGTAGAGTTAGCATTTGATGGAAAACAGTGGGAAAGCATGGATCCATTCTACCTTGTAACAGTGGTTGAGGATGGTGGTGGTGCGATGGTGTGGGGAGTATGTCTTTGGCACACTTTTGGACCCTTTAGAACCAAGTGAGCATCATTTAAACACCACAGCCTACCTGAGTATTGTTGATGATCATATCCATCCCTTTGTGACCTCAGTGCACCCATCCAACCCTACCAACAAGAAAATGCAGTAAGTTCAGATAATCTCAAACTGCTTTTCTGAACAGGACAATGATTTCATTGTCATTGTAGTCAAATGACCTCCGCAGTCACCAGGTCTCGCTCTAATAGGGCACCTTTGGAATTTGGATGAATGGCAGATTCACATGTTTATAGTATTTTAGTACAGGCTAGAGTTTCTCACACTTGTATTTTATATATAATTTAATTGTCAAGAAGAATGTAAAATATATAAATGACTGATAGCATTACCATGTTACCCCTACTTCATACTTTTTCTAACAGCTAGCACAAGCGGCTGAAAAGGCTCCAGAGGAGCACTGCCCACTCCTGCGTCAGAAATGAGTGCCCCACTCTTTTTGATTTGTTTTATGTAGGTTTCAAAAAATGAAATTAACTAAGGTTAATGAAGAATTGAAAGAAAGACACAATGTTGGTCTGACATGTCTTACTCTATAGAATAGAAGCCAGTCTTGTTCTTTAAAAGTAACCATTATGCACCAACCAGTCAGTTTGTGAGAGATTGGAAGAAAATATGCAAGCTGCATATGTGAGAAAAATAGCAAGGTGCGCATGGAAGACAGAGTGACAACACACAACAGTGAACAGGGTTTGAACTTGGCAGATGTGAATATTTGCTTATTGTTGCATGCATGGAAACCAGTGATTGAGTAAACCTTTGTGTTCCTGACAGTGCCAGGAACACAGAGGGAGGCAGTGGGACCTACAGCTGGTTAGGAAGCAGACAGGCTGTGCAGAACTGTGGGCATATGAGAGATAAACCCATCAGCACAGCCAGTGTTGAAACGAAGCTTACTGAGAGAGCTCTGAGAGACAAAATGCTGGTATGTGTGGTTATTAGCATAGGTCGTTTCTGTCATGAACTAGTGTTATTACCCCGGCCTTCCACTTTATGCATGCAGTGTCTTTAATTTCTCTGCAAGCTTGACTTACAACCCAAAACAAAGCAAAGAACCCAGCTATTTTCCACTCTCTGTTAAATTATTAGTTAAATTATTGTTCGAGCACACATTCAATATTGATCAATGTGTCACGGATTATGAGGAAAACATACACGTTGCATTCATGCGTGCTCCTCATTATGAGCTGTGGCAGTGGCATACTTGTTCCTGGATTAGCGGAATTATTTCGAAGTGAATCAAGCGTGCCGTAATAGTCCTGACTGTGGGACACTGGAATGTGGTCACATGGACAGTAATTAGTTCAAAATCACAATATCAAAACATGCCACTGGCCTCAGGAGTTTTTTTTAATGGAAA